TTTTTAGGAGCATAAGCCAAATGATTAGTTAAAATTTCTAAATAGTCTTATGAAGATTTTAGAATAGAGATTGAAAAGGTAAAGTTATAAACAACTTATTTAGAGGGTTAGAATTTTTTACCTTTTAAGTTGATGGTATATAAGTAGAAGGAAAAAATACTATGATGATAAATTAGTTAATCTTAATCATTAAATGTAAATCAAAGATATTATATTGACAGTCCCAAGTGAATGGAATGATAGTTAAAGATCGTTATTTTCAAATTTAAGCATTAAAATCAGCTGAATAACTAGCAGAATTAGAAGTCTTAGAAATTATTAATGAAAAAAATGGTGCTGCTTTATGTTATGCATTTGAACGTTAAGATGAGAATAAACATACCACTTTATTTTATAATATAGGGTCATAAAATATTTAGGTTTCTTAGTAGAATTCTATGCTATACTAAATAAAAAAAGTTGAAACTTTAAGATAATTCTAAAGAAATGAATAAATTATTGAAAGCAGTTAATCAATACAAAGAAATCTTATTAGCAAAAAAAAAAGTAAATTTTAAATTTTTTTTATTCTATTTAAAAAGAAATATAATTAAATTAAATATTCAAGACTTGTTTAGATTTTGCTTTATTTTTAAATTAATATATAAATTTGGAAAATTTTGATCCTATTCAAAATTAATACAAAGAAGAAATACTTTTTTTTTATTTTCGATACATCTATTTAAAGATCAAAATTTGATATATTATTTAAAGATATACTCAAATAATTAATTGATCTTATAAAAAAAGTATGAAAAAATTTAATAAAACAAAAGAGGATATTAATATTTAAGAATTAATAGATGGAAGCATTAGAATACCAAAAATCTTATAAGTGTTAGCAATTTATTTTGGTAGTATTGTAAATACATATGGAGATGAATTTACGGCTTTTGGTGCTGTTTTTCATGCTTCTGCTAATCTAGTTCATTCATTCAAAGTTAGGCCAATTTAATTGACACATGATTTTGGTTTCAACAGTTCAATTGAGATAAATGGAGTTGATAAAAATTTTTATCATAAAGTATTTGGATAAAAATAGAAATGGAAGTACTAGTCCAATGGAATTCTCATATGATAAAAATTTAAAATTGGATATTTTGTTGAAAAAGTACTAAACTAGAAAGTCCTTAAATGAAATTTGAAGAAATTAACTCATTAAATTAAACCTAATATTGCTACTGCCTCATAAGCAAAAGTAAACTGAAGAAAGGTGATATATCTGAAGAATAAGTTTTATAAGCTACTTAAAATAATGAAGAACAGTAAGAACCCGTTGTTGAAGAATTAAAATTTTAAAAATAAAAAATTATACTTACCTTCCTAATTAATTATACTATTACATATCATGTTTGAATTAATAAGAAATTGAAGATTGAACAAAAAAATATTAAATAATTAGAAACAGCAGAAGAAAATAGAAAATTAAGTGAAATTAAAAATAAGTTAGAACCATTTATTTATACAGTCAGAGAATTTAAAGAGGCTAAATATTTCTAAAAGGCATTAACCAAATTGAAAGAACTGAAATCTTAAAACTGTTGAAGAACATACTAAATATATTGATAGTGATGATACTTGGGATTTCGATAAATCACTACTAAGTTTACTTAATTGAATGATTGGTAATTATTATTTTTTATAAATTAGATTAAAGCCTATTTAAGTTAGATAGGATAAAGCTAAGGCTAGACCTTAAGCTGTTAATGAAACCATTACAAAATTAACTGATATTTACATAAAAAGGCAAATGCTCTCAATTCTACTCTGCCTCGGATTCTTGAAGGAAAAAAATTTATTTTTATAGGACATCTCACTAATAAAACTGAATGGTTGAAAACTTAATTAAATGGATAATTATTAAATTCTTCAATAACATATTCCCTATTATTTAAGCAATTTTTCTGTTATAGATTCTTATTTATAGTATTATCGTTTATAATATTGTTTATCTTTTTATTAAGGTTCTTTTGATTATTATTTCAGAATTTAATCTTATTCTTGGTTTTATTTAATAGATTCATTTTTCTTCTTATCTTTCTTTTTTTTTATCTGGTGTGACTTCATCTTTCATATATGTTGTTCCCATAAGCTTTTATCTTAGCTTTCTTTCTTCTTCATATTAATTGGCATATTTTTCTTTAACTTTTTCATTATATTATTTTTGCTTTGACTTGTTAAGTTTAAGGATTTTTTTAAATTCTTTTTATCTTCATCACAACTATTATTTTCAGAACCTTTTATATTTTATTTTTGTTATTGTTATTAATTTTGGTTATTATTATTATGATTATTTAGATTATTATTATTATATTTAGATATTATTATTAAGTGTATTAATTTTATTAGGAATATTTTTATTTATCACATTATTCAATAGTTTAACCAAAGTGATTTTTTGAAAGATCAAGTAATTCCTCTTTATTATCATTTTTGATTCATTTTATTCAGATTCATCAACTTTTAAGATTATTCTTCTTTTAATTTATTTTTAATACTTTCTTAATATATTGATATAAAATAATAGAACCCATTTCCAATCTAGAAGGATTAATAAAATTCTTTTTTCCATAGATCAAAAAGACCCAGATGATATTCATACCTAAAGGTACGCCTTTATTAATTTAAGATACATGTACCCACCAAGCAGAAACAACAATTTTAGCATCCCAAAATTTAGATCTGCTTACATAATAGTTGATTCAGGAATAAGACCTTCATTAGGATTCTTTATAATTGTTGAGGCTGATTCATAAATATTAGAATGCAGATAAATATTATCTTTATTCTATCATTCCATTCTATTGTAAATGTTTACTTCTTTCAAAGCAGTTCTCAATGCCTATTTTGATGCTTATTCTATCTTCAAGCATGTTAATAAGCAAATTATGTGATTTTAATTTTTATTTAAATCAAGTCAGAATATTCATCATCTATATTGCCTATAAATATTGTCATTTTTTTTTATTTCTTATAAAATAATTTAATATCCTCTTTTTTGCTATCATTAATCATGTTCCAAAGAATACCACTATCCATCATCTTTTGAGTAATGCCTAAAGTAGCTTACACATCATCAATAAATTCTTAGATACGCCCTGCTTTTATTATATATTCATCTTATTCTGCCTACAATTTTTAAATTCTATTCATTTGATTATAGTTAATATTATCAAATTTCTTTTGTGCTATGTCTTCAATTGATTGTTTATTTTCTTCTTATCTATATACAACTAAAAGAAATTGTAATTTTTGTATTTATAGAAAAATGCCATTTTAAGAAAAAAGCAAGGAGCGGAATTAATACTTTAACTTTGATAGTATTCAATATACTTGAATATTATGATAATAAAATATCTAGAATAAACAAGGAAGATAAAATATTTTCAATAAGAAATTGCATTTAATAGATGAAATAAGATTAATTATATAAAGTAAATGTAGGTATTAGAAAAAGATTATTTAAACTAAAGAACGTAAATTATACTGAACTTAAGACTAAGTGATCGCCTTATTAAAATGAAAGAAGAAATATCTATAATTTTAAAGATTATTATTACTTTTGATTTTAAATAATCTAATTATTTAATAAGAAAAGTTTTTTGTTATTATGCTGAACTCAATTTTTTTAAAATAACTATTTTAATTATCTTATCCATAATAAATCAATCATTTCTGCATTTATATTTTTTTCATTCTTTTTATAATTTAATATAATCTTATATTTTTTTATTTTTGTTGACATTAAAATATTTATTATTTCTTAATGTTCTTCTTAGAATGGCTTTACTATATTTTTACTAAAACTCTCAATACTTCCTTGAATACATTTATTTACATTCTGATAAAGGTCAGATAACATTTGCTCATTTTAATAATATTCCTTTAACAATAATTTTATTTTTTTTTTATTTAAGTTTAAATATTCTATCTCCTTCAACAAGTAAAAAAGGAGTTTGATCAACAATTTTCAAACATTTTGTTCTTTATTTTAAGCTAGTAAATATTATAATTTAATTTTCTTCTCATCGTTTCTTTTATAAATAGCTTCAAATACAAATTATTCTGGTATTTAATTATAACTTATTCAATATTTGGTTATATTTATAAAGAGAGAAAACACATCAACAGATTAAGAAGGTTCACACTTTAATATAAAAATAACAATTGAACAATTGATTAATATCTCCATCCTTCTCACAAATACATAAGGTTCTTTTATTATAAAAAAAATTATACATATATTGTTTAATAGATTAATTTAGCTCATTTCTTCAAACAGAATATTTCCTCCCTTATTCTTTAATAATGCTTGGCTATTTAATGATTTCTATTGATTATTCTTATAAATTAATATTTAATTCTTATCTTGAGATTACGCCTTAAGAAGTAGAATCAAGCAAATATTTAAAAAGCAATCGATA